CAAACCCACCCTCTGCTCCAGCAGGAGACGTGACTTCTGTCGGTGGCTACACAAACATCCTTGAAGAGAGGTAATCTGGGACTACAGCTGTGCACACAGACATGTGAGAGACCTGTGGAGAATTATCTCCCCAAACTTGGCAGCCCGCAGGGAAACTATCTAATATGCAATCATTTCTTTGGCTCCATCTAAATGAATGCTAGGGAATAAACACATAGTAAATAAGTGTCAGGTTTTGTGCAATATGATGAACAACCTTCTAATCTCATTTCTTTTTTTTTTCTTTTTTTTATTAAAGATTTATTTATTTATTTATCTTTAGAGGGGAAGGGAAGGAGAGAGGGAGAGAAACATCAATGTATGGTTGCCTTTCCTGCGTCCCCTGCTGGGAATTGGCCTGCAGGGAACTGGCCTGCAACCCAGGAATGTGCCCTGACTGGGAATCGAACAGCGATTGTCTGGTTCGCAGGCCCGCGCTCAATCCACTGAGCTACACCAGCCAGGGCTTCTAATCTCGTTTCTTGATAACCCTCTCCTCCCTTCTCCCTGGTGAACCTCTCTCTGGTTTTATGGAACTACTGTGGTTCTCCGCTTTATTCTGTTTCCCCCTTCACCTGGCTAACTTTATTGATTGATTGATTTGAAGGGAAAGGCAGAGAGAGAGAGAAAAAAATCAATTTATTGTTCCAGTTATTTATGTCCTCATTGGTTGATTCTTGTATGTGTCCTGACCAGTGATTGAACCTGCAACCTTGGTGCATTGGGACAATACTCCAACTTACTGAGCTACCCATCCAGGGCTAACTTTAGTTTAAATACCACCTTCTCCTAGAAGTTTTTCCTTCCTTATCCCCTTTCCCTTAGTTAGGTGTTTCTGCTTTATCTTCCTCACTACACCTTATAACAGCCTTCGGCTAAAACAGGAAACCAAAAAGTCACAAACCTTTTGTATATTTTGGACTCTGGCCCTACCTGAAATCATGTTGGGTCCAGACACCTCTCCACCCCTCCCGGGAGTGTTTCACATCTGCCGATGCACCTGTTCCCTCAGTAAACCCAGGGGGATGGGCAGACAGGCATTTTGCCCCATTTTTGCTCTGGCTCCCTGTAGGGCTGTCTGCAGGTGAGTTCCCAAGTCAAGGCCACGAGTGCCCGTGCAGGAAGGCTCCCTGTGGCACCCCTGGTACTCAGAACTAAGACTTCAGCATGGCCTGCCATTGCTGCTGAAGCTACCGACCTCCGGTGCCTGGTCCCCGAGAGGGTCTTGGTGGGGGTGGGGGCGGTGCTGCTGCATTTCTTTGCCGGCGTGGAAGATGGGTCCAAAGGGCACAGTCCAGATAGAGTGGAAGATGAGGCTCCGTCTCATAAGGTGAGAAATTCCACAAACACGGGAAAAGTGAAGAAAAAGAATAAAAAATGTTCGCTGCAAGTGTAGCCTTTGGACACATATTCCTCTTGCCATAAGGGGGTCTTTTCAAAACGCTTTCCCAACAGCGACCCCCCCATCTGCCATGGACTGCCGGTATCTCATCCCTGAAAATTAACTCATATTTTCTTGCCTGGAAAGCTATCCAGGCTCTATAACAGGTCCCAGATTTTCTTCTCTTCCTCCCTTCTTTTTAAATTTTCCCTAACGGTCTCCTTGTGACAATCACTTCAGGCTATTCATTGCCTCATTAAGCCTGATTCTTAAAGATGCAAACAAAAGAAACTAAATTTGGCTAATTTAAGAAGAAAATGAATTTACCGAAATATAGTGGATAGTTCACAAAATCTCCAGGAGGGTGGAAAAACCAAATTCATGCCACCGAACCAGAAACATAAAGACCAGTGGCCACGGCTACAGACCCTGCGCCTAATACTGCCCACCTCACCACGTTGCCGTACTGCCCACCCTCACAGTCCTGGCTTCCTCACCTAAGTGACTTCATTCAAAATCTAGGGTGGCTATGGCCGGCTAGTTCAGCTGGTTGGAGCATCGTCCTGATATGCCAAGGTTGCAAGTTCAATCCCTGGTCAGGGCACACACAGCAATCAACCAATAAATGCATAAATAGGTGGAACAACAAAGCGATGTTTTTCTCTCTCTCTCTCAAAGCGATCAATAAAAATTTTTTAAAAATCTAGGGTGGGTCATATTATCAGTGATTTGGTTGCAAGAAAGACTACAAAATGATGCCTGGTATTTTCAGCTTCTATAGCCCACAGAAATGGGCTGTGTAATAAGGTGAAGTATTTACCAAAGAAAGGAATTCATATGTTTGTGATGGTCAAAAAGATGGTCAGATGTCCATTCAACCTTGAGACCCCCCCCCCTCCTGTTTCTGTTGCTTCCCTCAGTTATTGCCTATTCGGTCAAGTTCAGAGTTCTTGACTTGCAATGCCCTAAAGATGGCTCTGAAGGATGTTACTTAAGCTAATGTAGAGATTGGAGGGGGAGGCACTGTGCTGTTTAGGAAAGAGTGGAAACTTATAATTGGACATGGGCTGTACATTAGCTGTGGGAGTTTCCACACTTACTCAAGTGACTTGGGCCTCGGAAGTGACCCACAGAGAGTCCCATGGAGGACATCAGACATCTGGCCCTGCACGCTCTCACGTGCTGTGCACACTTCATTAGACTTACTCTATGAAGCAGACAAATTAGGGAATGAGAAGCTATGTTCACTATTTTCAACATCTAAAGTATAAATACCACTCAGATTATTCACAAACTATAGGGATGGTCACCAAAGGAGTCATCGTTTTTAGAGGTCTGCTTGTTTTGGAGTTAGCAGGACATACAGGGGAGCAAGGAGGGTGTTTGCGCCTGGAGACACATGTTTAAACACTGACAACCCCTGAATGATCTAATCTCTTTCCAGTCTGTCTTTTTGATTGACTTTGTTATCATTAGCACAGACTTGCCCGTAAGTTAAAAAGGACAGTGAGATTTGCTTGTACTTGAAAAGCTAGGATCTGACAAGCAGATGACCATCTCTGGAAACCCTTTCTAAGTTACTCACTTCCTGTAAATGAAATGTCATTTATGTTGCTTTGAAGTAGCCAATCAAAAGGATGAAAACCACGCCTCCAGAAACTGGACCCTGGTGTATGAGCAGAGACAGGCAGTGAGCAAGAGTGAGCAGGCGGCCAACTGGTAAAATGAACTCTTGGTTGCCTAAGAACGAAAGAAAAGAGCTGATATTTTTCTTTTCTTTTTTTTTAAAGAAGAATACAATTTCATTTGATTCTTGCTAGAATAAAAAAAGGCAAGAGTCAGAATAAGAAATATTTCCTTTTAGTGAAGTCACCACATCTGGGGGGGGAGGATGCTTTTCAGCTGGGGAAGCAAATTCCTCTAGAATGAAAAAAGATTTGTTTTTTCAGATGAAAAGAGTTTATTTCTATTTTTCAGAATGTTTAACATTAGGAAGTCTTTGAATAGTTTTTAATATATTTGTAGGCTAGAGAAGCAAAACATGTACCAAAAAGGTATATAATAGCCAATAGCCAATATCCATTTCAAAGAAAAGATGGAAAAATTAAATATTTGACTTCTCAGCTGCAGTCAGTTGAACCTACAGCTTCCATTCCCTTATTTGAAGAACATGTGAGAGCATATGATATCACAAACCTTGTATCAGGCCATGCAAAGACAACAAAAAAAGGCATGTTCTTGCCCTGGCTGGTGTAACTCAGTGGCTTGAGCATGGGCTGCAACCCAAACAGTCACCAGTTCAATTCCCAGTCAGGGCAAAGGCCTGGGTTGTCAGCCAGGTCCCCAGTGGGGGCCACATGAGAGCAATCACACATTGATATTTCTCTCCCTTTCTTCCCTTCTCTCTAAAAATAAATAAATAAAATAAAAACTTACCCCCCAAAAAAGGCATGTTCTCAAAAGGTTTGCAATCTCTGAAGGTAAAACACACACACAAGGTAAAGCTACTGAAAAGGAGTATGTGTTCAGTGCCGTCAGACTGGGTTTATAGCACTTTCTCCTTCATCGAGGTATTTCTGACATTGCTTTGCACTTATTTGTCACTTGTCCACCTTCCTTACTAAACTGTGGTATCTTACTCCTCTCTGTAGTTTGCAGCCTAGACGAGAGGGGCTCAGTAACTGTTTGTGTAAGAAAGGAAACAAATAAGTTGATGAGTAAATGAAAAAATGTCTACAATTTAGAGGCAGGGATCACATCTGGCTAGAGTGATCAGGTAAGGGGGAGTCATTTCAGGTGGATCAGAAAGGATTTAAAGGGGAAAGCCTGACAAAGTGAACTCGGGCAGAGGGTAGGAAGTAGGAAAGAGCAACGAAGAGCTGGAAGCGAGCTCAGGAGTCCGGTTTTAACGTGACCCCGGCAAATGCAGGGTCGTGGCGCGGCGGGCAGGTGAGAAAAGCACCTGCCCAGCTCCTTAGTGAAGACAATCAGCCCTAGAACGAGTTTGGATTCCTCCATAAATGTCAAAATATTGAAGATTACACAAAATCACTTTGCTTCTTAGGAAGTTCATTTTTTCCATGATAGGTACTTTTCCCCAGCATTTGCTGTTTAATTTTTAAGTGTATAGTTCAATGGCTTTAAGTACATTCACACTGTTTTGTTAGCATAACCACCATCCATCCACAGAACTCTTTTTATACCTAAGCTTTTTAAAACTTAAAAATATAGCCCTGGCTGGTAGAGCTCAGTGGATTGAGCACAGGACTGTGAGGCAAAGGGTCGCCAGTTTGATTCCCAGTCAGGGCACATGCCTGGGTTGCAGGCCAGGTCCCCAGTGGGGGACACATGAGAGGCAACCACATATCAGTGTTTCTCTCCCCTCTCTCTAAAAATAAGTAAATGAATAAATAAAAATATATTTTTAAAAGGATTGGGTGTTTCAGATCTTTAAAAAAACAAACAACAAAAAACTTTAAAATCTAACATTTTCCTGTTACATTTTTACTGTTATGTAACAATATAAGACCACCAAGTACCTGTTTAATGAAGCTGTTCACATTTAAACATGTGACAAAACTCAGACTGAAACAAAGTCAGTTTATTGACTAAACTTTTGGGTTTGGTATTTAACAGTGATTATATAAACACTGGCCTCCTAAGTCAAAAATCTAAGATCACTATAAAACCTGGTACATTTTTCTCTTAGGAAGACATAATTCAAAGTCTGAAAGTCCGGTTTTACAAATCCAGAAGGGGAGATTTCTGACGGTGTAAGGGTTTTACAAATCCAGAAGGGGAGATTTCTGATGGTGTAAGGAACTAGAAGCTCCCCTCCCACTAGACAGGTCCCAGGGGAAATGAGACGGGGGTGAGGGTGAAACTCGGGCCCGGCCCACGCCTTCACAGGGGCGCCTACTTCTTACCTGGGGAGCCACCCTTGCCAGAGGAAGTGGTGACAACCCACGTGGTGGTTCTACTTAACAGGGCAAGGTAAGAAGCAGGGTGGTGTGTCCCAATCTGCTGCCAGGACTCCGTTAATTGAAAGGCAGCACAAAGTAGAATTAGAACCAGGGTTTCAGGATCCAAGCCCTGTTTTACTTCCAGGAGAACCAGTTCTCTCAAACTGCACCCTTCCCCATCCCAGTGCAGTGAGTTCTCCAGGCCGTCAGTTCAGACTCTTAACAGGACCCTTCTTTTTCTCGCATGCTGCCCCCTGCAGTTGATTTGGTTTTGAAGCTATTTGTGGAGCAGGTGCCGAAGCTTGGGAAACAGTCTCAGTGCGTTCTGCGTGGTCGCTTCCATCACTTCTTCCACTGAGATTCCTTTCACCTGGGCAACATACGCTGCTGAAATGGCAATGTTTTGGGGTTCATTCCGTACCTGAAACAGAACACAGCAGACACTAAATCAAACATGACTGTCGAGAGAAGTGAGCCTTGAAGACTGTAGAGAAAACAGAAGAAAATGAGTTGGTAAAAGTAACCGCTGAGCTCTTTTTACTGTTGGGGGATGAGTGGGGGGTGGAGGAGGGCAGTGAGGCTGGGGAGAAAGGCCGAACTTAAAAGCTACAGCAGTAACGCTGACTGTGAGCGTGTGTTGCTCCTGAACAGAGCCCTGGGGTATTAACAGTTGAGGTCCCAGCATCTCGCGGTCTGCAAACAGTGGACACTTCGTGCCTGCATGACTGATGTGATTAGCTGTCCTTTGTTCTGCTGCTTAACTGAGTGCTTGTAAAGGCCAGTGCTCTGCTGCTTGGCCTCTTCACCTCATAGGTGATGGATCACAGTTTGATTCAAGAACTGCCAGCCCTGGGCAGGTGGCTCAGTTGGTTGGAACACTGTCCCATACACCAAAAGGTTGTGGGTTCGATCCCCAGTCAGAAGACGTACAGGAGGCAACCAACTGATGTTCTCTCTCACACTGATGTTTCTCTCTCTCTAAAACACATAAAACCAAGTTATGAAATGATGTGTTCAGGCCAATCTTGTATTTATGAAAAATACTTATGTGTATCTATGTGAATATAAAAAGTCTGGGAGGATATACCTACTTGCTTTTATTTAGTGCATACTGTGGGAGAGGCTGTGTTCTAAGCTTTTTGTGAAATTTCTCAGTTAATCCTCAAAACTACTCTGGGAGTTGGTACTATTATTATTAGCATCCCTTTTTACCGGTAAGAAAGGATCCTGAAAAGCTGGTAAGGAGCCCGGCTGAGGCTTGAACCTGTGCAATCTGACACCAGAATTTATGTTCTTAGCCACTACACTTAGCGGTAACCTTCCAGGGGTAGACGGTTCTGTTTTCTAGTTTATGGTTTTATGTGCTTTCTAATTTTCAGAATAAACACATTTACTTAACAAAAAGCATATTCAGTTAAAAATTTACTTACTCAATAGATGTTCTGAGCACTATGTGCAAGGCATTACGCCCGAAACTCACAATTTTTATCACATCAACTCAATATAAATACAAAACTGAGTTACAACTGAACTTGAAATTCATTTCTGTTTAAAGAAAAAACACTGGGTCCTTTTCCTTCCATTTTATGCCAGTCAGGAAGACAACTCTGTACCATTCTGTCCTGCACCTGAACAAACAAACAAACAGGAGCCATGACCCTTCTATGTTCTCGAAGGAGCTGACTTATGAGAACGTGTAACTAATCGGACACTCGTGAGCAAACGTCACACCACAAGCCCAGACGGTCGTGGTTTATTAGCAGTCGCCTCGCTACTGCTCCCAGACCTCTGAGTCCCACAGGCTTGGAGACAGATCTGACGGGCAGGCGGGGCCGCCAGTGAACCGCACAGTGGAACAGGCAGAAACGGGTGCCGTCTACCACCAACGGGGCAGATACTGCAGCTTCCTTTGAGAAAAGTATAATTTAAAATACTAGCAATATTTAAAATGTAACGCTTTGTGGCCTATAATAACAAGAGTACAACAAATATCACATAAATGAATCTATGACTACATATTAATATTTGTATTGGGAGAAATAGAGCCTCATTATAACATGCTAATTAAAAGAACAAAAATAAACATTTATTGAGCCTCTTTATATATACCAGGCACTTTCATATACATTACTCCATTTAATTCTCACGATGATACTTTAAAGTATTTTACTATTATTTTGCCCACATTTTATAAATAAAGAAAGTTTGAGAGAGATTAACTTGTCCAGAGTCACACAGCTAGAGGGTAGCAGAGACAGGATTTGAATCCAGGCCTTTCTGACTCTCAACACCAAGATTTTTGCTGTACTGGTCTGACTCTCATTATTATATAATAAAATAATATTCTTTGGGGCACAACATTAATATTTAGAATTAATGAATTCTTCTAATATTCTGAAATTAATATAACCTCCCAACGTAGCATTAAAAAAGGATTCCATTGTAGTTACACTGTAACAAGAAACACAGCTAAATCAAAAATAGTTCAAATGAAAGGTACAATCTAAATAATGTAGAAACCAGACAATCACTTACCTGTTTTTCTGGCCCTAGTGCAGGTGAATCTGTTTCCAAGCAAATTGAGGTTAAAGGCAATTGTCTCACAAGTTTCTGCTTCTTGGAGAAAAGAGAAAACTAGTAAGTGTAAAGCACGATTAATAAAGATAACAAAAGGAACACTGAACCCACGTGCCAATGCCTTCTATAAAAACTTTAAAAATTCATACTTTAATATTCAATTAATAACTGCTCCCTATGTTCTCAGCATTCTATTACAAATAGATTTAAACAGAAACATTCATGGCCAAAAACTGCCCAGACTCCAGAGACCCGAGGAGTGGTCCCCAGCAGCACGCTCTGCAGGGACGCCAAGTGCTGGCACCGCCAGTCCACTGAAAGGTCTGCGGAGGGGACTTGTGCTGTCTCTCCGCCACACTCAGCGTTCCCTTCTCCTGGTCACCTGAAGTCACTCAAGGCTTTATTAAGCCCGAAGTTCATGTCCACATTTTTGATTGCATGGCAGATGGTTTTATTTTCTTATTTATAGTTTTTTCTCTGGACTATAAGGATTGCAATTAACTCAAAAAGTTTTATACCGAGAACATAATTCTTTTGTTGCCACTGAACTTTTAAAGTAAAAAATGAGCCCTGGCTGGTGTAGCTCTGTGGATTGAGCGCAGGCCTGAGAACCAGAGGATTGTGGTTCAATTCCCAGTCAGGACACATGCCTGGGTTGCAGGTCAGTTCCCAGCTGGGGACACACAAGAGGCAACCATACATTGATATTTCTCTCCCTCTCTCCTTCCCTTCCCCTCTAAAGATAAATAAATAAAATCTTTAAAAAGTAGTAAAAAATGAGACACATGATGCAGAGTAGAATGTTGTTATATCAAATCGTTTTAAGATTAAAGTTTCAAAAGCACGGAAATAGGTACACTCATGCCCTGTTGGCAGGTAAAAGTTAAACTGGTATAAACTTCTTTAAGAAAATGTAACAATTTAACAAACACTGAAGAATGTACACCCTCTCCTGAGTGATTCCATTTACAGGAATTACTGCACAAGCCTGTGTATGGACGCGTGCATATGGACCATGGGTGTAAAAGGCACTCACTGAAGTACTGCTTCTAACAGCGAAAAATGAGAAACAAGATAACCTTTACTTAAGGCAGAGATTTTCCACCTTTTCTCATCTCATGGCACACATAAACTAATTACTAAGATTCTGTGGCACACCAAAAAATATATTTTTTGCTGGTATGGCAAAAACATAGGTATAAGTTTGACTCAGTCCTACCAGATAGCTGTTGTGTTGGCTGCTGTCATTTTTTTATTTGACAGTCTAAGTTCATGCCCCTGACTAAATAGTCAGGGACTGCATGTCTCCAAAATCCTTGCAGTTCACCTGCTGAAAATTGCTGACTCAAGGTGATGCTTACATACATTATGGTACGCCCATATCATGAAATATTATGAGGTCATTTTAAAGATGACATAAGCCCACATTTAGTGACACAAACAGATACCTGTGAAGCTAACTCAAAACAAAAAGAATAAGACGATCTTATTTTAGGTGGACCAACGTTAGTAATGGCTGCCTGAGTGACAGCATCTGGACTGACTTAAAATCTGTTCTTTTCGGAAGCGACTCAATGTTCTATAATGTACAAATATCATCTTTAAAATTAGAAAAGGTAGAATTTTAGTTTTAAAAAAGAAACATGCCACAGCTAAAGATTACTACTAAATAAGTTTTCCCACAAAGTATGAAAGTAGGAAAAAGAAAACTGATCTTGGGCGACTACCAACGGACACCCCAGAACTCTCCGCCCTACAGGAGGCGGATGCAGGTTCTCATTAAGTATGCGTGTTCTCTTCGCCAGGACACGCCATATTCGGGGCCATGCCACAAACCTCAACCAATTTAAAAGACTTAGGATCATACAATGTATGCTTCCTAAACACAGCAGAATTAAAGTAAAAATCTGTAATGGAAAGATAACAGAAAAATTACTAAATATTTGGAAATTAAACAATACACTTTAAAAAAAGATTTTATTCACTTATTTTTTTAGACAGAGGGGAAGGGAGAGAGAGAGGAAAAGAACCGTCAATGTGTGGTTGCCTCTTGCACACCCCCATACTGCGGACCTGGCCGTGCAACCCAGGCATGTGCCCTGACTACAAACTGAGCTGGTGACGATTCTTTACAGGCCAGGGCTCAATCCACTGAGCCACACTGAGCCACGCCAGTCAGGGCTAAACAATATACTTTAAATAATCACTATGGTCAAAGAGGAGATCAAAAGGTAAATTAGGAAGCATTCTGAACTGAAAGAAAGCGAAAACACGGCATATACCAAAATTTGTGGATTGTAACTATAAGTAGTTAGTGCCAATGCAACTACTGCATTAATAGTATGACTATATTAGAAAACAAGAAAGGTTTCAAATAATCTAAGGTTCAACCTAAGAAACTGTAAAAAGGAAAATATATCATGATCAAGCAGACTTTATCCTAGGAATGCCAGGCTGGTTCAATATCAGAAAATCAATCAATATGATTTACGTGCCAAGAAAAGAACTATATGACCATCTCAGTAGATGCAGAAAAAATATTTGACAGAATCCAACATCCATTTTTGATAAAAACTCTCAGAAAACTAAAAAGAAAAGGGACTTTCTTAACCCTATAGGATACCTACAGTGTATTTAATGATACCTGATAGTATATACTTAATGGCAAAAGAATGAATATTTTCCCCCAATCAGGAAAAAGGCAAGGGTGTCTGTTTTTACTACTCCAACATTCTACTAGTAGCTATTTCCAGCGAAATAAGGCAAGAAAAAGAAATAAAGGGTACAAATATTAGAAAAGGCAAATTTATCTTTAGTCAATAAATCCATAAAAAATCCTGAAAAACCTAAAAACTCTACTAGCACTAATGAATAATTCAGCAGGGTTACTTGATAAAAATTTAATATATAAAAATCAATTTTAATTCTACATACCAGTAATGAATAATTGATGATTAAAATGTTAAAACCATTATGTAAAATAGAATGAAAAATAAGAAACAGGGATAAATCTAATACATGCAGAATTTGTATGCTGAAAGTTATAAAATACTGACCAAAGAAATCAAAGATCTGGCATGTTCACATCAATCATCCCCAAACTGATACACAGATTCAATGTACTCCCTTTAGAAACACCAGCCAGCTTTTTTTTTTTTTTTTTTGTAGAAATCAAGCTGATTCTAATATAGATGGAAAGGCAAGGGACTTGGAATAGCCAAAAAGATTTTGAAAACAAAATCATTTGTTTTGTTTTCAAATGATTGAAACAAACAAACATTGTTTAAAATGATTTCAAACAAACATTCGTTTTCAAATGAATACTCCCCAGAGGGAGTATTCGCCCTCTGGGGACCATGTCCAAGCCTGTTCCTTTTCCATCTTCTCTCTCACGCATGCATCTCCTAAACTTTAAGAGACTGCACAAGACTCGAAACCAGGGGAGCAGTGGGCAGTGGCAGCTCATCCTAGGCTAACCCCCTGCACCTGTCTCCAAGACCCCCTTTATTCTGCTTTCTCAGTGAGCCCTGACTAGGCTCATTTCCCTCCTGTCACATTTCTAGAGAGCCCATGCAGCTCTGCACTGGCTTTCTGTGGTTCCTTTTGTCCGATGCCCTTCCTTGTTTCAATGTCCCCAACTAATAAATATACTCTCAAAAAAAAAGAGCTAGATTCTCACACTACTCTGATTTCAAAACTCACTGTAAATCGCCCTGACCAGTGTGGCTCAGTTTGGAACACTGTCCCACAAAGCAAAATGTCACTGATTTTATTCCTAGTCGGGGCACATGCCTGGGTCCCCGGTTTGGCCCCCTGTCAGGGCGTGTACGAGAGGAAACCCATCGATGTTTCTCTCCCTCTTTTCCTCCCTCCGTTCTCCTCTCTCTAAAAATAAAATAAAATCGTTTAAAAAATTTACTGTAAGTCTAATGCAATCACGATAGTATGATATTGACATAAGGCCGAGACCTATGTCAATAGAATTTTTTATTAATTAACAAGATTAATTTTTGTAATGCAACTAGAATAATCTCACAAGTATGTAATAAAAGCTCATGTTTTAAAGTGAACTTCACAAAGCGTGAGATGAGGTTTACTGAAGGGATTTACCTGCCCACTCCGTATGACGGAGGGAGGGATCGAGAAAAAGTACCCGGCTTCCACCCCTTCCATGGCTACGGAGGGCCGGCCGTCAAACGCGTGGAGCAGCACCTTGTCAGCACCTCTCAAAAACGAAAGATAAGTCAGACTCCCAACGTATTTCCTCCATGAGAGGGTCTTCCACTCATCAGGCTGAACAACAAAGACCAGAAGTGTGGTCCCCACAATACAAAGCTGAGGTTCTATGACTTCTAAAGGATGGAGAAGTGTACAGTAGAATGAAAATACAGTAAATTCTTAATCTTCGGGATAAAATTATTAAGTAAAATTGCAATACAAATTTGTAAACAATTATTTAATCTTCCTGTATCATCACACATTTTCCAGGAGTCTGTGAGCTGTTGAATTACTGTTCCTAACAGGAGGTTCTTCAGCCACCAAGCAGCCCTTAGTGAGAAGGCCAGTGGAGGAAGAGGTGGGAGCTCACTGGCTCACGGGTCGAGTCACTGAGTTCGCATCATAAAATCACCTCCAGGTCCTGAAGAGTGGCTGCTCGGCCGCCATAAAAATCACATTCTCGGTGATTCCAAAAGGGTTTGGTACCCATCACTGAGAAATACAGTGCTTTCCAGATGCAAACAGTTACATTTACTTCACTACTTAATGTGCTTTTTCAAAAAGCAGTTGCGACTTTAGTGGGTTACAACCACAAGTAAGTTATGTAACCAATTTAGTGGGTCAAGACTGACCAGTGTGCCTGGCTGGTGTAGCTCAGTGGATAGAGCACAGGAAACCATCGCCGGGTTGATTCCCAGTCAGGGCACATGCCTGGGTTGCAGGCCATATCCCCAGTATGGGGTGTGCTAGAGGCAACCATATACTGATGTTTCACTCCTCTTTCTCCCTCCCTTCCCCATCTCTCTAAAATAAATAAATAAAATCTTTTTAAAAAAAAGAAAATAATAAAAGACTGACCAGTGTGTGCTTATATGTGGGTGCAGATGCACGTGTACACACACCTATACACACACAGACATACTGTTCTTTCAATTTTGTCAGTTTTCTCTGTGTGAATACACTGAGTCTCAAAATAAAGTCTTAATACCAAAACATGGTATTTTTTTGGTATTTATATTTAATATCAAAATATATTTCTTATTGTATATGGCACTTGAAAAAGTCTGGGAATATGATACATATAAGATCTATTTCTACTTCAGGAATATAAATTACTTAATCCAATTTTTCATGTTTTATCCTGGCCTGACACATGCAATCACACTGAAAACCTTATAAATGGTAGGCTAACTTACAAAATCATTTTAGATGATTTCCACCTCCCCCCTTACCCCTTTTCCTCCCATTTAAGAAATCAAATTAAAACATGGCTTTTTCTATGAGGATACGGACTTGAATTACCAAACGTAAGCATTAGCAATGTTTGTCTCAGGAACCTAAATACCTTGCTCATTTAAGAGGCTGATGGTGGGTCTTCCAGCTGAGCGTGAGTGAACATTTCTGTTTAACAAAAAAATTCCTTTTAAGTACTTAGTGTGATAACATTATCTTTGCTCTATTAAAGCAATTCAGAGAAAAAGAAATGGAGAGCTCCATTTCAAAAGAATCATTATTTAATTTGCTCTATAGCTGATCATGTGGAAAGATGATTAATGAACCTACAAAGGCAAATTCAGTCTTTTAGCCAGTTGGACCTGTCTGATTAGGACTTGTCTTTGTTCTTCCTTCTGTTCGTCTGTGCCAGCAAATCTAGGGGAGAAATCAAGTCCCACCTACAACAGAAAAGGAAAACAGAATGAACTGCTTGTGGTTGACTGGACCCCAAAGTCATGCGATGGAGCAGTGCTTGGACAGTATGCGAGAAAAATATAATGTGGGCCATACATGTAAGCCACATACATGACTGACAGCTTCTAGTAGCCACGTTAAAAACACTGACAAGAAACAGGTAGAATTAATTTCAGTAATATTAATTTTAATAATTTTAAATGCATTTAATCCAATACATCCAAAATGTTATCATTCTTATTATATAGTAGTGTATTGTTATTTTAACACATTATCAATGTGTAACTTAATGGGTTATTTTACATTAAGTCTTTGGGGTGCTAAAACACTGAAATCCTCTGTGTGTTTTATACTCAAAGAGCACATCCTGGTCTGGATCAGTCACATTTGAAGTGCTGCATGTGGTCATCACATTGGAAAGGGAAGATGATAAATGACTGCTTTCCTGGATACTATTTTGGCAGGCATTGTTATAATCCATATTCTGGATTCAACTGTTACTCTTATCTTTTATCTTTATCTTCAATTAGACGTGAAATGTATTACCAAGTGATAATGTTTTATAACTGCTAATTGTTTAACAGAAGTGTTTTCTAATTTTACTCTGCCCTATTTAAAATGTTTGTGTAGAATACTTTTTTGTTACATTTTATTGTTTATGCTATTACAGTCGTCCACGTTTTTCCCCCTTTGCCTCCCTCGATCCACCCCCGCCAGGCAATCCCCACACCACTGTCCATGCCCATTGGTCACGCAAATAGATTCTTTGGCTACTATATTCCCCATGCTGTCCTTTACAGCCCCATGACTATTCTCTAACAATGAATTTGTACTTCTTAATCCCATCATCTTTTTCACCCACCCACCCAACACACTTCCCATCTGACAATCACCAAAATGTTCTCTGTACTGATGATTGTTTCTGTTCTGCTTGTTTGTTTTTTTAGAATCAATTACTGATAGATATGTATCTATTGTCATTTTATTGTTCATATTTCTGATCTTCTTCTTAAAGAAGACCTTTTAACATTTCATATAATTCTAGTTTGGTGGTGATGAACCCCTTTAGCCTTTTCTTGTCCGGGAAGCTCTATATATCCTTTGATTCTAAATGATAGCTTTGCTGCGTAGAATATTTTTGGTTGTAGGTCCTTGCTTTTCATCACTTTGAATACTTTTTGCCATTCCCTTCTAGATTGCAAAGTTTGAGAAATCAGCGAACAGTCTTATGGGAGCTCCTTGTAGGTAACTAACTGCTTTCAAAAATTTCTCTTAATTTTTAACCTTTGGCATTTTAATTATGATGTGTTGGTGTGGGCCTGTTTCTGTTCATCTTGAGACTCTCTGCACTTCCTGGACTTGTATATCTATTCCCTTCACCAAGCTGGAGACGTTTTCTGTCATTATTTTTTATACAGGTTTTCAATTTCTTGCTTTCTCTCTCTTCTCCTTCCGGCACTCCCATGATGCAAATGTTGGTATGCTTGAAGTTGTCTAGAGGCTCTTTACATTATCCTTGTACTTTTTTAATTCTTTTTTCTTCTTGCTGTTCTAAATGGATATTTTTTAATTACTTTTACTTTTTAAGTTTTTATTGTTTTTTCCCATTGCCATTTAACCCCATTATACACTCCTCCTCCTAATTGGGTGTTTTTTGCTTTCTTATATTCCAAGTTGCTAATCTGATTCTTGGCTTCATCCACTCTACTGTTGGTTCTCTGTAAATTGTTCCTTATTTCAATTAGCGTAACCTTCACTTCTGTTTTTTTTTTTTTTATGGTTTCCATGTCCTTTTTTTAATTGCTGAAATTCTCACTGAGCTCCTTGAGCATCCTTATAACCAGTGTTTTGAATTCTGAATCTAGAAGATTGCTTGTCTCCATTGTGCTCGGTTCTTTTTCTGGAATTTTGTTTTGCTCTTTCATTTGGGACATATTTCTGTCTCCCCATTTTGGCAGCCTCCCTCTGTTTGCTTCTATGTATTAGGTGAAGCTGTTATAACTCCCTGGCTTGGTAAGGTGGCCTAATGTAGTAGGTGTCCTGTAGGGTCCAGTGGCACAGCCTCCCCTATCACCCAAGCTGTATACTCAGGTACGTCCACTATGTGGGCTATATACACCCTCCACTTTTAGTTGAGCTTTGGTTATTACTGTTGGCAGGTCAATGGGAGGGGTTTACCCAGGCCAGTCAGCTGTAATGCCTGGCTGTGACCACTGACCACCAACTTTCAATCACCATGGAGGATTAGTTGTGCAGGGGCCTACTCCACAGAGGAGGATTTACTTCAGCAGGGCTCTAGTGCCCAATGAGTCCGCCTCGAGTGTCTTGCTTGTGCAGGTGGTTAGGTGCTGGTGCTCCAACATGGTCTGTAGCTGTCTACTGGGTGCACAGGCTCTGGGGCTTCCTGAAAGGTGCAGACCAAGGTCAGCCACTGCCTGTGTTCTGCCTGGGGGCACCCAGCATAAGCTACAAAGCGATTTGCAGATGGCTGTTACTTGTGCTGGGCTTAGATACACTCAGGCAAGGCCAAGCTGTGAGCCAAGGCTGCTTCTAGTGCCAGGCTAGGGCCACGAAGCGAGAGGTATGGGGCTCACTGAGGCCAGATGCTGCTTGCTTGAGATGATTTAGGAAAATCTAAAGCATGAGCCAAGACCAGCCATCTCTATGGAAAAGCCACTGGAAACAGCTTGGGGGGGGGGGCCTGAAAGTTGGGTGGGGTGGGGAGGAGCCTCGGGGCTTCACCATGTTGGGGCAAACAGTGTTAGCCAGGTTGATGGAGACTCAGATATGGCACCCACTTCCCAGCTCTGGAGCTCTGTCGGGGGGGGGGGGTCAGAAAAGGAACAATGGCCTCTGCCAACACTTTTGTATGGAAGAAAGCTGCCACCCTGATGCCAGACACTTCAGCTGCTCCCCATAAGCCATGATGCCTTTTAATCTGCTTCTCACAACCTGGAGCTCAGAGGGAGTGAGTCTGAGCAAGTCTGTGTGTAAGCTCTTTAAGAGGGACTGCCTGGGAATCCGGTGGTTTCTCTTACAGCCTCAATCCCTGCTGGATTTTATAGTCAGAAGTTACGGGGACTTATCTTCCTGGCACTGGAATCCTGGGCTGGGGAGCCTGGTGTGGGGCTGGGAACCCTTGACTCCCGAGATGTCCCTCCCCATTTTTAACTGCCACATGTGGGTGTGGGCCCAGCCAGTCCCGCCTCGCTGCCCTTTTCACCAGTCTCACTGCGCTTTCTTCTTTAATTCCATACTTGTAGGATTTCCATTCCGCCTTATTTCTGGACGTTCTGAATGATGGTTATTCGGTAGTTTAGTTGTATTTCTGATGTGATTGTGAGAGGAGGCGAACTATGTTTACCAATTCCCCTTCTTAGCTTTTCCTCTTATATGTGCTACTTGAAATTACTAAAGAGCTGACCGATATTTAAGCAAAAGAAAAAGCATAATATATAGAAATGCTAATACAGTATTAACATAAGCCTGTGGTAAGGCTTTCTATTGTGTCATCCCAAGCTCTTCTGCTTGTTGAGGAAGTACTGGTAAATTATCATTCAGCTGAATGGGGTGAACATAATCACCCAAATCGGTTATAATCACCAATACTGAAGTAAGGATTACTTTCATATATCAAAGTCCGAATCAGATCATATATCATTTGATCAGCTAATAGGTGTTTACCTCTCCAATTGCCAACAATTGATCCTTATATTTCTCAATAATGGGCAAAGCTACATCCAAATCCTGGGAGAAAAAGAAAGTATATTTGTTAAACTAAAAGAAGGAGTCTGATATTTTACAAACACATATTACATGATGGGCGCTGTACTGTGCTGGGCCCTTCACATACATTCTATTCCTTTCACTAGTTGAGGAACTAGGAACAGCAGTTCTTCTATAAAGCTGAGCATTTCTATTTGGAAATTTGAGTAGTAACATCCCACCCCCATTCAGGTCATAAGACTACAACTGTTTACGAAGATTCACACTTAAACACTTCCTTCTGCTTAGGAAGCATTTCCTGGCATTTTGGAGGACGGCTTTGATTTCCTAGAACATCTGAGCAAGAGAGAAGAAAGCCACCAGGTGGGCAACTTGTGAAGTGAGTTTTGGGGAGTACATTACGCTGTGCTCTCCTCTTAGGGCACTAATGGCTCAAGAGTTTATACCAGCGATGACCCCACACTTCCTTTGTACAATTGTTACTGACTTATCTTTATAATCCTGTTCAGCCTATTTTTGTCCTAAAGGTTCAACAATATAAACACTAACTATCATATATATGCTTATTTGTTAACTACTGAAGTAACCGTGTACCATTATTTTCCACGACATTACTATTTCACTTAGAGAATCTGCCCTGTGAGGTTTCCCTTGTACGGCAAGAGAAAGACAAGTATAAGGAAAACTTGCTTCTTTTAAAGTACTTTGAGGATTTTGGTCACAGGATATGTTAACCGCAAGGTACTTCTACTAAGGATAATCAGAACAAGGGAGAATTTTAAAGGGGAGGGAAAACAGATGGTAGAGGAACAGGAGATTTTACAATTATGCCTTGAGAGACAGAAAAGAAGATGAGGGAGAGTGAGTGAACACCCCAGAAATACATGCTAGTAAATCAGTGAAGAGGAATTCACGCTGTCATGAGGAGCTAAGAGTATATAACACTATACAACACCCATTAGCTGTTACGGGTTCCACAACAGCTAATGGCTCTACTACGGGGTTTTTAAAGACCCTATATCTCCCCACACTATGACTGGGAATACCACTACTATATAATCATTCATGATTTACAAACGAGGAAATTGAGACTTGGCAAAGTTAAGGGCCACAAATTACAGAAGCCAGCAGCTCAGGTCTCTCTGACTTCAAAATATGCTGCTAAAAGCAGAGGAGACAGAAAAAAGGAAGGAGGAAAAGAAAGAATAAGGCAAAAGGGGAAAAGGAAAGAAAGTTTATGCTGAATGATTTTAAATAATTACAACAGACTTTTTATTAAAGAATATGTTTAGGCTTCGAATCCTCTAGAATAGGGGTCACATGTGCAACAGAAATGAGTGCAGTGGTCCATGCAGGGGCAGGAGCCAACCGGGGAGCAATTGACCTGCACGTAGGGGCAGTAGATGTTGGCCAGTGAATCGTGGTTCTCCAAAGTATCCCTGGGACCTGACCCCTGCCTGGTAATAATATTTATTGAATAAATTAATTCAGGAATATGTTGAAAGATTTGTGCGATGCTAGGCAATTGTCAGTTTGCAAACCAAGCTAAGGTAACGGATGCTCACTGCATCCCTAGCCTTCTCCCACCTGTTAGGGGCTCACGGTCTAATCGCTATGCGAGAACAAAACAATGGTATGGAATACACACGAGGACTGAAGTAGAAATAACTGCTTATCTCCGGTCTTTTCCAGAGGGCCACCCTGAGATTTGATGAGTTCATTCCTACTTTGATAGTCTAGAACTTCCTGTATATTACTGATATGTTAATTACTTTTGTAAGTTCTACATTCATGCCCAAAATACGCCAAATCATCCACCTCTCTTCACCTCCACTGCTGCCTCTGGTCCAATCTACCAGCATTTCTCACATGCACTGTTGCAATAACCTTCTCACCATATTCCCTTCTTCATTTTTTACCTTCTTCAAAATTCAGTCTTAACGCCATACTGAAGGGGTTCTTTTCAAAACACAAATCACATTTTGTCAGTCCTCATCCCCCACTGATGTAAAATCAAACAGGGCTCTGTCTGAGATGACCCCTGTCAAATCCTGCTGACCTTGTCAGTAGGACTTCCCTTTCCTCTAGTCCCATCAGCCTCCTTTCTCCTCCTTGACCACATTAAGCTTGTTCTTACCCTAGGTCATTGTTTCCTCTGCCTACAACACCCTGACCCCTCTCTCTGCTTGGCCAGCTCCTCAGAGAGGCCCCCCTTGACCACTCAATCTAAACACCGGCACCCACAATCCCTATCACATAACCCTTGTCTTTATTGTTTTACTGTCTTTAAAGCACTCGGCGCTACTTAAAGTTTTCTTGTTCGAGTATCTAACTGTTCATTGTCTGCCCCAGTCCAGAACCTAGATTCCTGAGAGAGATGCTACTCTACTGCGCTTGGAAGGCAGTAGGTGCTCAACAAACACATAACTGACTAACTGAATGAATGCCTATTACTATACTCGTCAATCTCTACATAAATGAAACAAATGCCATTCTGCTATGATCCCCAATGTTATGGAAGTTGTAACTCTGGCAATTTAGCTTATTTTATCACATCGACAACTCAGGAGAGCTAAAGAATAAGTATTTTTTACTTGAAGTGAATTAAAAATAATTTTGTTTCAAAATAATGACAGCTACCTGGGGTGTCCAAATGTAAGAATACAGATTCATTATTATAAAAAATGACAGCCCTCGTATCTTAATTTATAGATAACAGAAAGTCTTCACTTCTTCAAAATGGGGTTATTGGTCTCACTGTGTAAGAAGGCACCATAGAAACTGTGCATCTCCACAAGTCTGGAATGTAAGACATACTGGCTACTGTGAGTCAGTGACATCTCGTGGTAGGATCTTTTTTACAAAGGGTGGGAAAGCCATGCAGTTTAATAAACCAAGGGCACCCCTATGGGGATGGTTCAACATTCAAAGAAGATACTGTGTACCTGAACTCGTCTGTTCCCTTAGAGTACTGCATTTATGAATTTGTATCTTTCTTTGGGTATTTTACCACCTTTTTGCCAAATAATATGACAATATGATTTTAAAGAATGTAAACACAAATCACCTGTAATTCTACAAGATCATCACAGCTACTATCATTTCTGTGTTTTTCTTTGTAGTCTTTTCCTTATAGGGTATATTTTTATAACTCGGCAAATAAGCTGTTTGCATCTTGCCTTTCTGTATTATACTGTAAACATTTTCCATGTTGCTATGTAAACCTTATAATCCTCATTTTTCACAAATGCATTACATTTAACACTCCACAAGCTAACTAATTATTCTTTTATTTCTTGGCTGCTAGGCTGTTTCTCCTTTTTTTCTATTACAAATAATTCTGCAACAAACATCTTTGGGAAAGGAGGTAGCATTTCCTTCGTTTAGATTACTGTCTTAGACTTTAAGTTAGAAAAGAAGGACTACTGAGCCAAAGGGATCATCATTTTTTAAGGTTTTTGTTTTATGGGGCTGTTACCTTTAACGTGACACTCCTTTGGTCTTGCGGTGAAAGTCCTTGAACAGGATGAACACCCAAGCAGGGCAGGACAAAACCACTGTACCTAAGAGTGTAAAATGAATTGAGAAAGCAGACTATCAGACTAGCAGACAATGTCACTCTAAAGAATAAGGAGGAAAGAATTTTTAGGGCTACATTTATATTTTCCTTCTCATTCTTCTTAAAAATGGTAATCTTCCATATTATAAACACGGTATCATAACTTTATCTTTATTATCAACTCTTTAAGTTTTTAATGAGAGGTAGTACCGTTCTGAAAGCTGCATAATCTTTTCAAATTCTCCTGAATGTTCAGCGACCACCACAAGAGCCATAACATTGGCCTGAGACAAAGAAGAGAGCAGTTAGAGTTTCAAGCAATATACATCCAATATAATTTTTAAAAATGTAAAGTTTTCTTTGCTCATCTACACTCCATTAGTATAATCATAATAGCCATCACTGAGTACTTACTGGACATAAACATCACCTCAATTAATCTACACAACCTTATGAGGTAGGCCTTGCTATAATCTACTGTGTGATCAGGAGACAGAATTTTAGACGGAGTCAAATAACTTGCCCAAGATCAATAGGCCTGAATTACTCCAAAGCCTACACTCCTGATTAACCTGTCCTAGTGAACAATGGCTGTATATAAAATTGTACTAGCAGCCACTTCTGACTAACAATTTTGGGAAAGATTATGAAATGCCAGTTATAATGAGTTTCATAAACACCTCTAAAAATTAGTATTTTTCCCAAACAAAAATGTTTCAGAAAACTTTAATAATGTCTCCAAGATCTCCAGAATAATGTTTATTTTAGAGCTGACAGACGGACTAATCTGTTCCATCTCAGTGGTAAGCATGATGGCTGGGGGGTCGTGTTTTCAATGGACTTTCTTGCTTGCATCATTTCACTAGCTGTGTGTCTTTGGACATATCAGTCTCTAGGCCTTAGTTTCCTCATCTATAAAATGGGCAATGGTTTGCTACAACAGCGGTCTCCAACCTATTGGCACCATTGGACCAGTTTTGCAGAAGATGGGGGTGGGGTGTGGTTGGAAGGGGAGGTGAGTGTTGCTGGCCTTATTGTGAAATGGGGAGGGGCCAGAGGCAGAGCTCAGGTGAGCTTCACTCCCCCCCCACCTTCTCCCACCTGGCTGTGGATGGCAGGGGAGGGGTGGGGTCCGGACACAGAGCTCAGGTGAGCTTTGCTTGTGGGCAGCTACCAGTCCGAAGCCCAAGGTTGGGGACCCCTGGGCTAAAAAACAGTAGCTTCCACAGAAGGTTGTCATGAAATACTCAATGAAATAATGTACAGAAAGGGCTTAGTCAGTACCTGTTACCTAGTAAACACAATAAATGTAACATTATTACTGAAGCATCAACAGAGCATATCTAAAATTCAAAATGTTCTAATCTAAAATTAGAAGGAAAACAAAAGCAAAAAGAAAAGAGCAATTATAGATATTGACTTACTTTCTTGGCTTTCTCCAACACATCATCCAGATCCTAAAATAAGCAGAAGTGATCACAGTTATTAACTGCTCTTCAGCTGTGTGTTGTAGCAGGGTGGTTGAGGCAACAATGATGGCGAGGAATAGTGTGGTGGAATGAGAAGAACCTACACTGACCCACCTTCTGTTTCCTATTTCCTTCTCTTAGTAAAACTCGGCATCTATTCCCTTTACATCAATCAAAACAGAAACTGTTACTATCAAATGTAAAGGACACTTCTCGGTCCTTCTCTTACTTTGGCCCTCAACAGCATTTAGGAACTCCTCACTTGTCCGCTCCTTCCTTCCTGAAATATTTTCCACTCTTGGCTTCGGCAACACCACTCTCCTGCAGACACCACTCTCTCTTACTGGCTGCTATTTAAGTCTTCTTAACTGGATCTCTCTCCTCTTTCTGATTTCAGGACCGTACACTCCTTTCTCTTTACTCACTTCAAGTGATCTTATCCACTGGTTTAAATACTATTATTATGCTAATACGACCCCAATTGTTGTTTGCAGCCTATTATTCTTTCCAAAACCCAAGATTCATATTTAAGAATAACTATATGGAGAATAATATACTCCACTTGGACGGAATTAGGCTTCAACATGTACCAAACATAACTGTTTTCTTCCCAACAAACCTATTCCTTTTGCCTTCCCTCCCAGCCTGTCTTCCCTCATCTCAGTAAACAGCACCACCAACCTCCCGATAGCATCGACTGCCCTCTTTCCTTCCCTCTCCACATTCATTTCTCCAGCATGTACTACAGATCCAATCTCTAAAATATACCTGGAATCCATCTGCTTTTCTCAAACTCCCCTGCAACCACCACCATCTCTTGTCTAGATAATGCAAAAGTTTCCAAAGTGGTCTTCTAGCTTCCACCCTTGCTCTCCTCTATCCGGTTGCCGCACATCAGCAAAATAGTTTTTAAATGAATATCAGATCTTGTCATTCTCTTAAAAAGGAAAGAAAAACCTTTACTAGATTCGTATTGTTCTTTTAATGAAATCCAAACTTCCTGCTGACCTACCTCACCCATCCCCTGACAACCTCTTTAGTCTTGCTTCATGCGTCTCTCCAGGTTCCATCCCTATTTTGGCAGCATGAATGTGCCAAATTCAACCTGCCCACTTTCCTCACCACCGTACACACCCATCTTCTTGTTTGGCTGGCCCACCGTCTCCGCTCCCCCCCAAGTGGACCCCACTTTTCCCTCTCTATTATAAGCCTCTAGTTTCCAATGTAGCGGGTAAAACACTTGGTAAGTCTGATTTTGTGCGTGCGTTGTTCTTTCTGTTGGCCTCGAAGCAAACACGAGCTCGTGTTTAGGTGAAAGTGGATTCTCAGCCTGGCCAAGCGGAGGTAGGGGGAAGAACTCCGGTAACCGGGTAAAGCAAATTAAAGCGGAGACAGAGGGCTTATACTATTCCAGATCAGGAAGAAAAATCGGTACGACTGCCGTTAAATAGGGAGACAGGTGCAAGTCACACCGGCCATAAACCGGCCTGGGTGGATTTGAGGCTCCGTCTTCTTAAGTCAACCACGCCTGGTGATTGAGGCTCCGTCTTCTTAAGAGCAAAGGAAATCTGAAGGAAGAGGACGGGATCTCCCTGCTCCCACCCACCCAGCCGGCCTTGCCCTCGCTTACGTGGTCGAAATCTGGGTCAGAGAGGTGGCAGTGGCAGTCCACCAGCCCTGCGCCCACCGCCCCCATCTCCGCGGCGGGGGTAGCCCTAGACTCGCCCGCGGAGCCTCAGCCTGCGGTCCCCAACCGGAACCCTGCTGCGGCAGCGGACTGAGTTTCCGGTCGCAGGCGGACCCCTTCCTCCCGTGGAACTCGCTTCCGCTCCCAGAATTCCCGCCCACAGTTCAAACTGGAAAATGGCGGGGGCTCCTGAGTTGGAGGTCCTTTCGGCTCCGGGGGATGTGGAGAGAGTAGCCGGCACAGAAGACCGGACTTCGGGCCCCGCCACTGCCCGTCAGGACTTCCGTGTGCGCTGCACCTCGAAGCGGGCCGTCATGGAATTGGTGGAACTGTGCGGCCGCTTCGTGCAACAGCTCGGGGACTCGCTGCCAGATAAGATTCGGGAGCCTGCGCTGCGAGATGCGCAGTGGGTAGGGGACCAGTAGTCACCTTCTTTACCCCGGGTCTCAAAGCTCAAGGGCCTGCGCCAGGTTTTAGCAGGGTTAACGGTGCTCCATGCTCGGGTAAAGCAGCCTGAAAAACTCGAGGGAGCGCAGCAGATATACTGTCCGCTAGGAATTATTAATTACTTAGACCAGCGCTGTCCAGTAGAAAAATACAAGGCGAGTTATGTATGTAACTTGAAATTAAAAAGCACGAGACAAATTGGTGAAATTAATTTTAATAATACACTTTTATTTGACCCACTAGGCCCAAGGTTTTGTTTCAATTTGTGATAATAGAAAAACGAACGAGGTATTTTTCCATTCCTTTGTTCGGACTTTCAAACCTAGTGTCTAAAATTTACAGCTCGTGTTCTTTCGGACTAGCCACGTTTTAAGGCCTCAGTAGTCACAGTGACTAGGGAGTGGCTCCCCCGTTGGAGTGAATAGAGAGACGCTGTGATTTCTCCAGGAAAGAATCCTGGAAGTCAGTCGGCCACCAGGCTAGCGTTTGGTCTTTCCCTTGGCCTGTTTTACAATATCTTGTAAAGAGGGTGAAAACATTTTCCCTACAAGTCTGAAGTAGATAAGGAAGCTATCTTAATTATAAACTTCTCCAAACACTGGCCCTTATAACACATTGCCCTTCCTTTAAAAAAAATATCTAGTAAAGCCTTGAAGAAGATAGGTTTTTTTGGGTTTTTTTTAGGGTATGGGAGGAGATACAACAAATTGAGGGATTAGTGCCTGTCATAAGGAAACACACAATTTATGTGTAGGAAGTTGGGTTTTTTTTTTATCTTACCATGCAGCGCACCTGTGAGTGTGAATGAGCACAGTGCAAACAATAAAAATAAAGATTAAGCTCTGGCGGCTCGGCTCAGGTGGTGTGAGCATCCTTCGTACATCAGCACGATTGTGGGTTCAATCCCTGTCAGGGCAAAAACCTAAATGGAGGGTTCAACCCCAAGTCGAGTGCAACAGGAAGCAACTGATCAAATGTTTTTCTCTCATGTAGATGTTTCTCTCATCCGCTGTCTCTAAATCAATAAACATATCCTCTGGTGAGGATTTAAAAAATAAATAAACGTTAAGTGGAGGGAGAATGAAAAAACACTCCCTGAAATGTGCTTCTGTATTCCGGTTTTGGATCTAGTGGCTCTTATTCTCTCCTTGCAAGCAAGGGAAGAATACAGACATTCTTAGTAATGTTTTTGGAGAAGATTGTTTTATTGTGTAATGATCTTAAGAGTTTACCCTTTTCTAGGAGGTGCTAAGGTAAACTACTAAGGGAATTGACTTGTGTTTATTTTAATTAAGAGAACAAATAAAAGGCAGAGGCTTTAATTATGTTGATGTATCTCTAAAACCACATAATGTAGTAATAGATTTTATTTAAAAATAGTATTGGTACAATTGTGTCAATACCATAAAGATAATTTGTTTTCTCAGATAATTCTTGAAAGTCCATATAGAAAGTAAATATTTATTTTTTTAAATTTTATTTATTTATTTTTAGAGAGGGGAAGGAGAGAAAATCTACGTGAGAGAGAAATGTCTGTCAGTTGCCACTCACCCACCCCCAGCTGGAGACCTAGCCTGCAACCCAGGCCTGTGGTCTTTGGTTTTCGGGACAACACCCAACACTGAGCCACACCAGTCAGGGCTAAAATAAAATATTTTACTTTATACAATTTTTAAAGTGTAAAATATGTAGTTTATTTTATAATTACACATTATTTTATTTATGCTTATTTTTAATTTACAAAAGTCCTCATTGTAAAAAATAGCATAACGCAAAATCTTTGAATTTTCCCTCCTGTATCCCTCTTCCTTCCTGTATGTGTCCTGACTGGGGATCAAACCCACAATCTCGGCATATTGGAACAACACTCTAACCAACTGAGCTACTTGGTCAGGGCTCCATCCCTTTACTTTTAGTCTATGTGTATCTTTCATTCTGAGGTGGCTCTCTTGTAGATTGCATATGTGTGGGTCTTGTTTTCTTATTCAGCTACATATGTCTTTTGATAGAGGCAGTTAAGCTGTTTACTAAAAGTGATGTCATTTTGTTCTTTTAACCCTGCAGAGGTTGCAGCTGATCTGAGAGATACAAACTCTTCTTAAATTGTTACATGAATCGAGTACATAGGTTCAAGGTCATGACCAGCTACACATTTGTATGTGACTAATGTTAAACCATAATGTTTAAGCCACCAGTGTGGTTATAACACATGTTTTGTAAGGGTAGGTGATATTTGATAGTAAATTGTACCTGAGAGATACTGTGAACTCCGAAGTCATTATTGGTATAATTGTTCATTTTCCATGAACTTGGAAGTCAGTGTTGTTTTTTTTCCATTTACCATTGAAAATGGCTGGAAAAATATATTCATTCAATAATCGAAGTGATGTTGAAGAACTTCAGCAAATGCTGCTGCAGATACTTCAGTGACTTTGAGTCGCTTATCAAAATATTTTTGCGAGTGTCGTGAAAAGTATTCATGCCTCAAGCACAGCAATATTGTTTGTGGTGACTAGTGCAAATATTTTGCAAGCCAACTACTAAAGAGTCTGATTAATTAATGTTAAAGACATTTTTTGGTAGTATTTTTTTAGCAATGTCCATGTTTTTGTTATTTAAAAAGAAAAATTTTTAATGTTTTTATGTTTCTTTGCTAATTTCTAGATTGTAACTGAAAATAAATTTAAAATTATGTATTTTATTATGTAAATATAATAAATACAAATTTACAGTGTTTTAAATTTTTTTTTCCACATTTCAGCATAATAGTGATGAATATGTCTTGGATATTTGCGACTTACACTGTAATTTTTTTTGACTGCGACCTCTGCGGGGTTAACTATATTTCTTCGTTTATTTGTTTTCTTCTTTCTTTTTTTCCCCCTTTTCTTCCCTTTAACATTTCTTGTAGTGCTGGTTTGGTGGTAACCAACTCCTTTAGCTTTTTCTTATCTGGGAAGCTCTTTATTTTTCCCTCAATTTTAAATGAAAGCCTTGCTGGGAAAGTAGTCTTGGTTGTAGGTCCTTGCTTTTCATCACTGAATATTTCATGCTAATCCCTTCTGGCCTGAAATATTCTGTTGAGAAATCAGCTGACAGTTTTATGGGGGCTCCCTTGTAGGTAACTATTTTTCTGTTGCTGCTTTTAGGATTCTCTCTGTCTTGAACTTTTGCCATTTTAATGATGTGTCCTGGTTTGGTGTTAGCTTTTATTTTTTATTTCATTTGAAAAGTACATGCTTTTGTTTACAAGAATATTCTAAAATTTTGGATCAAATTATAATGACTATCAGAGCAAAAGTATAGGTAGAATCAATTGAAATGGAATTGTCATTGAAAATAAGTATACTAATAGGCCAGTCTGCTACTTTTTTATATCGCCTGTCACAAATCCAAAATTATTTTGTCAAAATATTTAAATTCAGTATCAAAAATTATGTTTAGTGACTTGACTATTGTGAATTTATTGCAGACTTTCGAATCAGCCATACAAGAGAATGTCAGCATTAATGGGCAGGCATGGCAAGACGCTTCAGACGACTGTTTCAGAGGTAAGGGATTTAACTTTTGTCTTCTGTCATTAATTTCTGACTAATTCTTGTAGCTAGTTTTATGTCAAATGCTAATTTTTAATCTCCATTCTCAGTGTTACTTTAAAAAATATTTTACTGGGTGGGGGAGGAGACAACTAATCTATAAGACTACTGAAGTTGTAGCCTGAGGTAAACAGCAGAGTGGGCACCTGACCCTTTGTATTTTCTGTCTGGCACTCTCACCGAGACTTTAATCTGATTAACTTCAAAAGTACCCCTGTCATCCATTCATTGGAAAAACCTGTGGGACTATCCCCCAGATGAAGAAACAGACCCAGAGAATTACTGTGATTAATAGCTTGTGAATCAAGTGGTGGTTTCACAAGTGATCTTTAGAGAGTAAAGTACCGTAGGGCCGTGAAGTTAAACCGTGAGAGTGCCATGTCAAGAATGAGGGGTCAGTATTTTGAGAAACGTCCTTAAAAAGACAGAATACTTTCCTGGTACAAAGCAGACTTGACTGTACCTTAACCAATATTATTTACATATCTAAAGAAATCAAAGGTTTTTAAAAAAAATTGATTGATTTTAGAGGAAGGCGGGGAGAGAGAGGGGAGAGGGAAAGAAACATTGATTTGTTGTTGTACATATTTATGCCTTCATTGGTTAAATCTTTTTTTTTTAATCATCACCCAAGAATACAGTTACTGATTTTAGAGAGGATGTAGGGTGGGTAGAGAGAAAAACATCTTTGTGAGAGAGAAACATTGATCGGTTGCCATCTGTACATTGTTTCACTTATTTATGCATTTGATTGGTTGATTCTTGTATGTGCCCTGACCAGGGATTGAACTTGCAAACTTGGTGTATCTGGACAACATTACCCAGCCAGGACCAAAGTTTTAATAGAAAGAAGAATTCAGTGTATTTTCCTATTTTTCAGTAGAAAAATAATGATCAGTGTGGGGGAGAAGCAGAATTCTTTAGCAGTGCCAGGAGAAGGTCTGTCTTGACAAGAGGGCCAGAGTATCTCACCTGTTCCCATAATGAAACTACAGAGATCTGACTAGCGTAGCTTGATACCACTGTTAACTGTTCTGATTATTCAGTTGTACTCTCGAGCTGATTCCAAGTCCACTATATAGCCCTCTAAAGTTACAATTTTTCTTCTTCAAATTAAAATAATACTTTACCCAGAAGACTTCACTGTCTTCTCTTTGGGATTATTATAGGAGTGTGCAAAGTAATATAACAATTAATAAGTAATAATATAGAATGAACTCTGTTTCACATACAACTGTAAACCTACTTTTGCACACCCCTGTATAGTAGTTATCTCTTCAAAGTTACCAAGCTGTGTTTTCTGGTTTACATATTAAAACGTTAAAAACAGTAACATTGGATTTCTCAAATATGATCAGATTGATTATTAGAGGAGAGGGAGTATGTCAGAACCACCTAGAAGTATTTTCTTTTTAATCTGTTGATTTGAGAGAGAGAGAAACATTGATTTGTTGTTCCACTTACGCATTTATTGGTTGATTCTTTTATGTTCCCGAACTGGGGATTGAACGTGCAACCTTTTGTTATATTGGGATGATGCTCTAACCCACTGAGCTAACCGGCCAAGGCCTAGTGGTATTTTCAAGCTACATAGCCTTTAGTGTGCCTTTATCTGACGCTCTTTCTCTGAATTCACTTTGGAATTGCTCTATCGTTGGGTACAGACTGCCTTTAGCAATATGGTTCATCAATTTATAGATTAACAAATGATTCCCTATCAGGTTGGAGCATGCATATTTTTGTCTCCCTTTCTTCTTATAACTGAGAGAAAATAGTTATAATACTTCTACATTTTTTCATGGGCACATGATAAATACCAGACACTATGCCAGATGCTGGGAAATAGGTGCAAAGACAGTACCCTTACCATTTAGGAACTCATCATTAATGCAAAGAAATGGGCCAGGAATCAGCTATACTCTTTGGGAAGTGCAGTTTGACCTAACAGAGTTGGTTGTTAAATTAATGCGTGTAATAAGTAAGAATGCTGGACGAGAAGGAGGTAGGAAGGACGTTTAAAGTAAAGGAAACCCCATGCACAAAGGCACAAAGGAATGCTTCGTTTGGAACACGTCAGAAGTGAATTGGGAAAACTAATGGCAGGTACGGCCAGAAAGTTAAGTTGGGGCCAGATCACAGAGAGCCCTGTAGGATATGCTGAGGAGTTTGTACTTTACCTTGTAGGTAGTGGGGAACCAGTGAAGGTTTTTAAAGTAGAACTTACATGGAGAGGTTGTGCTTTGGAAAGCTCACTAGTGGCCTTGTGTGAGGATTCATGTAACAAGTATTAAGTCCAACTAAATTACTTCTTTTGAAAAATGTTATGAGAGAAAGTCATTTCTTACTTTGAAAAGTCATTCAGCCCTTCCTAAAATTTAATTTATCCATTTGAAAAGTTCAATCACTAACCTGAAAGGAATAATTGACTATTTCTTGATCAGTTAAAAAAAACAAGTCTCTCAGCTAAAACTTCTATGTGAGGAAAATGGATTGGAGAAGGGAGAAATTCACAGCAGGTTGGCCTTAGAGAGGTTATTGCAGTTATCAGCAAAAGATGAAGACCTATCCTAAGACAGCAGGAAAGGAGAGAAATAAAAAGCTGCAAGAGATGTCCAGCAGGTAGAATTAAAGGATTTGTATCTGATTCTGGTACTTAGAAAACAGTAAGTAAGCTTCACAAGGACAGAGGTTTTTGTTCATTTTGTTCACTGAGATCCTTGTATAAATGAACAAGTGAGTGAACATACAGATAATACACATTAGTGAAACCACCTTCCTGTCTGCCCCTTAGTTTCTCTGAATGGCCTTAATTTCAGGAGGATGGACCAGACACATTTAAGAATTACAATGTAAATTCCTTGAGAGCAGGAACTATATGTTTTCCTCATCACTGGGTTTCAACTTGTAGCTTGACACAAAGTAGGCATGCTCTAAATATTTGTTAAATTAGTGACTAAGCCTTCCCTGCTCAAATTGTTTATACATTTCACTTCTATGGCTGTATCATTAGGTGGCGCTAAGGAACCATTTTCCTCACATAGAAGTTTTAGCTGAGAGACTTGATTTTTTTTTTTAACTGATCGAGAAACAGTCGATTATTCCTTTCAGGTTAGTGATTGAACTTTTCAAATGGATAAATTAAATTTTAGGAAGGGCTGAATGACTTTTCAAAGTAAAAAATGACTTTCTCTCATAACATTTTTCAAAAGAAGTAATTTAGTTGGACTTAATACTTGTTACATGAATAAAAGGCTGTACCCAGTGTACCTCATTTATTACTCAGTATGTAAGTAAATGCAGATATATATCAGCAATGCCTCAAAATGTTTCAAAAGAAAATGTGTATTGTACTTTTCCCTAAAGAAGCTTCCCAGCATAGACTTTGACACAGCAGGACACTTGCTTTCAGACCAGGGAAGCTGACAACCTAGCACTTTAGTATTTAACTACTTAGTATTTATTATTCCTTAAAATGATTTTCAGAATAATGTTGATATATCACCTATATTCATTTTATCTGGGGCGCTTAATATCTGGACCCCATTCCAGAGACCTACTGAATCAAAATTTCTGCTCTTTTGACAAGTTCCTTAAATTCATTCTGCTAAAGTTTGAGAATCTCTGTTTAAAAACATAGGAAATCAGCCAATAAAATGGTTTTAGCTAAATGAAGTCACTATATCTTTTACTTTTTTCTACCATTTATCCAGTTTCACCTATTTCATATCCAGCTACTCTATTTACTCTTATATCACAGTTTTGTTTAAGCACATAAAAAAAATAAAAATAAAAACTTCTTAGCATCCGTGGCATTAAATGCTCTTTACAGTCTAGTTCTTTTATCATCCTTCTTTCCTTATACTTTATCCTGCAGCCATTTAGAACTTTTTTGGTTTCCAAAGACTCTATGATCTTGCAAATACTGTTTCCTCTGCCTGAAATGCTTATCCCTATCTTTTTTTTTTTTTTAACCTCTTTTTATGGAGTGGATTTATACTTACATTCTAAGTCCCAGCCCAAATATTACTTCGTCTTTAGTCTTAAATTCCACAGGCAGAGTTAGTGTTCCAGTGTTCTGTGTCCTGGTAGCATTTTGTTAACACACTTGTTGCATTTGTCAAGTTGCTCTGCAGTTATCTGTCTGCTTCTTGCGGTGAACTGTGAGCTCTCAGAGAACAGGGGTCACGTTTAGTTCATCTTCGAATTTCTCTCATTTCAGCCTGGCTTGCCACAGGTGCTTAGTAATTGATTATTCAATGCATAAATGAATCAGTCACCAAAGTGGGACCATCCATTAACTTGCCATATTTGTTTTCCTTAATTATTTTGTGTTTTCCAAAGTTAGTTATTCACATTATATTTTCATATATAATAAAGAAATATGTTTTAAGGAATTTTTTTCTCTTAAAATAGATTCTGATATTAAAGAACTTGAAGATCGGTTTGATGAAATCATAGTAGATTTAGCCACAAAACGCAAGCAGTATCCCAGAAAGATCCTTGAATGTGTCATAAAAATTATAAAAGCAAAACAAGAAATTCTGGTAAGATGATTTATCTTTAAAGTAGTGAATTTTATGTTATATCTGTTTTAACTGCAATAAAAAATTAAAGTATAAGATCCGTGTAGAGATAAATCATTTCATTTTATCCTTTCTGCCTTAATTACTACTGTTTGTCTCTTGTAAGACTTTTTCCTGTTCTAAATCACACTAGGTTTTTGTTGTTGTTTTCTCTTGTTTTTGTTTTATTTTCTGACCATAAGTTTATTCAACACAAAATAACCCCTCTATCTTAACTGAGGTGGTTGACCATGCCCACCACCAGGTCCTCCTTTTACATTGGAATCCGGCTGCTGACCCAGCCCCAGCTTCTGGTCAGCACCCGGGGCACAGCGCTCTGTCTGCAGGTGTCTCTGTCCACTTCCCCTCCTGTGTGTCCTGCAGGGCCCTCGCCCTCCAGACCTTCAGAGTCTTAGGCCTGCTGTAGTGCAGTGTGGCAGGCGTGATCTCGGGGCAGATGGAGGTAACCGCAGAGATACTGGATGCCCTTGTTGGTAAGGTACCTGCAGAAGTGTCTCTGTGAAGGAAACAGCTGCTGTGCTAGGGCCTGAGTTCAAAAGGAAGGGGCGTGCCCACACTGGGATTTGAACACAATTGACACTAATGTAGAATTTGAAGATGGAAGACTGACAATGACTATATGATTCTGAGAGCAGGAAGGAAAAAGAAATGTATCTTTTAAGGCTTTTCTTTTTATTTGGCATTTGTGTTTGGCACATTATTCGTGTATGATTATACATTTTGGAAGATGCTTTAGTTAAATCGGTGACGAAAATTGAGTACCCTTTCATATACTGAAATTTGCTTTATGAATCGTGCGTTATTTGTTCAGCTCCCAAAATCATGACGAGGTGAGAGTAGGTTTGCTGGGAGTAGCTTTGCCTGGGCAGGGAGAAATAGCTGCTCTTTTATATTGTGATATACTGTTTGCTCTTAGGTTTTCAAATGAGCATGCTTCACACATAAATCTTTTGATTGCTTTCCTTTGAGGAATCGTTTTAGATAGTAAAGGCAGGTAAAGGCTTTATCTAAAATATTTTAGTGATTCAATGAGAAAGATATTTATGAGCAGAATCTTTCCTTTTTTTCTTCTGTAGCAATCTTCAAAGAAATACCCTAATTTCTCAATCCCCTTTTTAAAGTTGTCTTAGAAAGAACATTCAACGCATGTTTATATTTTAGTGTCTCCCTTCCTGTTAACTACCACTTTCTCCGTGAAGAACACCTAGTAATCAGTATTGCATAGACTAAAGTTGGCAGTCTTAGGTGAGGTACTGCTGTGGAAAGTTAAAAAGTGGTGCAAAATGGATGGCGTGAAGGTACCGAAGGCAGCTTTTTAGAAAACCTTTTGGCTCTAGCTAGCTTTGGGCAAGAGTAAGGAGGAACGTTTCCTGTTCCCTTTTGTCCAAGCTGTGGGTCCTGTCCCCACAGGTCTGCTGCTGGAGACCTGGGCACCACAGGGTGTGCAGGCGCTGCTGTGCTGGCATGGGGCGGCCACTTTAAAGAGTTTATGGGAATAGGAGTCTGAGTTCCAAACACTTTTCTTAAAATGAACTTTTGGTGCCCTGGTGTAGCTCAGTGGATGAGCGCGGGCCTGCAAACCAAGGGATCGAGGTTCGATTCCCAGTCAGGGCACATGCCTGGGTTGTGGACCAGTTCCCAGCAGGGGACCTATGAGAGCCCCCCCCCCCCGCCCCGTACATTGATATTTCTCTCCCTCTCTTCTTCCCTTCCCCTCTAAAGATAAATAAATAGAATCTTTTAAAAAATGAACTTTTGGAAAACAATTCATAATTTGGAGACTACCTAGTACTTGAAATACAAAATTTAGTCTCTGTGCCTTTAATTTGCTTGATTACTTTTCTCCTTAAAATTTTTTATGGTGCAGTTTCTTCGTGTATACAGTAGGTGGCAATACTGTAAAAGTTATAATTCAGACTTAGATTTGACTGATCTTTTCTTCATTTCCCCTCCATTCCCTACAGATTACAGGATTTAATTTTTGTTTATTTTTGATTTTTTGCTAACGAATGGTACTGCTAATAATATATTTGCTTACATTAGCTGAAGAAAATGCTTACATGAGACTTTAAGTAGTGAAACTAAATCTGTTTTAATTTATATTGTTTAGAAGCAGTACCACCCTGTTGTACACCCATTGGACCTAAAATCCGACCCCGATCCAGGTGAGTCTGTTACAAAACGAAGCATCGACTTGTAATTTGTGAGTTCCTGATACTCTTTTAAAGGTGTCAGCATCCTGGGTGTCTTCTCTTTGGTGCTTTAACTCACTCCCAGTCATCGTGTGTAGCTCCTCACTAAGGGTTCTGAAAACCTGCTGACTCGGAATCTGTAGGAGTAGGACCCGGGAATCTGGACTTTTATAAAGCGTTCTCCTGACCTAGGCTCGTATAACCCCTTCCGGTCTCCAACTCCTGTGACGTGCCCTGCTGTCCGACTGCTGTTATACAGTCCACTCTGTGCATTACAGCCGAAGTTACACGATCCAAGTGCGCATGGGGTCACGCCCCAGTGTGATAACCTCTATTGGTTTGTTATCCTTTATGAAATGAAATCCACCAAAAATACAATGTCGAACTTCAGGAGAAATAAACACATTTGTTATGCCTTTGAATTCAATTCTGTTTCCATTTAGATATGTCCTCTAAAAAGAGATCAAATTGATACAAAATTATTTAAATCCAGAAACAGAATTGGCATTGCTAAAAATGTGGATCATAATGTTTTTAAATGGCTCCATTCTTGCATTTAAAAATTTGTAACTGTTTTCCTAAGAAACTTTTTAGAATTTGCTTGGCACTCCAATGTACTGTTTCTGAGTATTAGCAAAACAGTTACGATCTTGGTTTATCTGTAAAGGACATTTATATGCATGGCTTTGAGTACCTTACTTTGATTGCATTCTGAGCTACTTCCTGACGGCTCCCACACTCCACCCCCACGCCCTCTCCAGATCTCCCAGACTAATGGAATACACCGAGAGGGGTAGGTACAAGTATACAGATATTCTGAAATAGCTTAAAGTCACATCATTCATTGTGTTTGAAATAAAAATTGACATAGAACCTAGTGCTTAATTGTCATGGTTCACTGAAAAGGGATAGCTGCCAAAATGCAGTAGTTGAAACATACTTGTTTAGTTCTGAATAAAATAAAAATAAGAATCAAAACTTGTGATATCATAATATACTCAAATATTATAATTTCTAGATACAGCTAATTCTCATTTAAGAACTTTAATAACCTTTTTATCTTAGAAGGAAAACAAATTTACTTAAATGATTCATTGAAGGTCTATGATTTTATTTCTACCATTCCAGGTATGCAGTATTAGAAAAAATCTCTGCATAATATGATTCTGACTGCAGGGGTGAGCAAAGGAATAATCAGAACTATCTTTTGGACAAATTTTGAAGAGATTTTGTCATGCATTTTCATAATGTTTATAAGCTTAGAACCACATCAGCTCATTAAGCCCAGCAAAATTAGCTTGCAGTTTTATTGCTGTATATCCTTGGACAAGTCATTTCAAGCATTAGTTTCTTTATGACAAATTCTAGATATGGAGCCTGATGCTTTAGTTATGAATACCAGCTGTGTCATTAAATATTACAGAGATGTCCTGCCCACTTTTTTGAGGTTGTGTTATGAATCACATGAGATAAGGGACTCTGTAGACTGTACCTAAAATACATACGTAGTAGCTAGTAGAGAAATGCTGTTTAATAATAACTCTGGTGTACATTTTATCCCATGTACAATGATGTGTTCATAACACTGTGTAGCTTGTGATGCATCTAACTGGTAAAATCACATGAAATTAATTAAAATGGCTTAGGAATGTGGAAAGCATAAATTGATATGGGACCTAAAAATCTAAATGAGCTGCATGAGGAAACTTATTGGAACTTCTTGAAAGTTTCTTTTTGTTATTAGACTGTTAAGTGATATCAATGTTTTTGAAAGCTGACACTTGAAGTGTTGGTTTCCAAACCTAAACAGTCCTCCCTCGGTATCTGTGGTGGGGGATTGGTTCCAGGACCCCCACGGATATCAAATCCACAGATGCTTAAGTCTCATATAAAATAGCATAGTATTTGCATATAATCTACCTGCATCCTCCTATGTAGTATAAGTCATCTCTGAATTACTTATACCCAATACAACGTAAATGCTATGTAAATAGTTATACTATATTGTCTAGGAAATAATGACAAGGAAAACTGTTCAGCACAGATTCAACCATCATATCGTAACTACATTGTACATGTCAGCAACAATGTAACATTTTGTTCACATTTGGTTGAATCCATGGATGTAGAACCCGTGGATAGGGAGGGCCAACTGTGCCTAGGCAGTGTATATAGTATTGGTTTGGCATAGTTGTGTTAGGAACCTTAGGAGATACAGAGGTAAAACAGACGGATTCTCCCCATAAAGAGCTATGTCTGAGTGGAAGAAATAAGAGATGAACATAAAACAGGATTCTTTTGTGCCCTCCAACTAGTTCCTTTCCCAGTCTTCTCCATCTGATAAAATGGCAACATCGTGTACATGCGGCTTTAGCCAGAAGTTGACCTTGAGTTTTTTTCTCCTGTGCTTCTTATATCGGCCTATCAATAAATTCTATAAATCATTTCCTTGAAATATAATCTTAATGTACTTCATCTCATTATTATCACCTGTAGTCTAGGTCACCATTACTCTTAAGTGGATTTCTAAACATGCTTTCTAGAAGGTCTTCCTGTTTCACTCTTGCTCTCTTCCATTCCATTGCTTAGCCATCAGGCACAGTCGATTTAAACATTTGTTTTGCAAATATTTCAGACATACAGAAAAAATATACAATACCACATAATCACATCTTGGTACCTACTACTCATATTTGACAAGGGCTATTCGCGTTTTGCCAGATTTGCTTCAGACCTTTTTAGAAACTAAAACGTATGGTTACAGTTGGAACTTCCAACTGTAGCCCTCCACCATCCTGTTCCACTCCCTCTTCAGAGCTAACCACTGTCCTCGGGCCGAGTGAATCCTTATTCCCTATTCTTGCTCTTGTGCTTTAACTTCATAGATACGTATCCATAGACAGTGTGTGGCATCTGTTTTTAAGCTTTATATAGATTGTATCATACCATTCTGCAACTTATATTTCCCCTCAACAATATATACATACACAGCTGTCTGTTCATTTAGCTTGGACAGTAGTACTCAGGAGTGTGAATATACCACCATCGATCCATTCCCCTTCTGTTGGATGCTTAGATTGTTGTTGGGCTTTTAGCATTCAGTTTTGTTTTGTTTATGCTGTTATAGCCAGTATTACAATGACTGTTCTTATCTCTGTCTTCTTGTGTAGTGTAAATATGCCACAGATGTTCTGGGGTAGATTTCTGGAAGCAGAACTTCTAGGTAATAGGACTTGATTCTGTTCAGCTTTATTATTCCTCCAGAGTGGTGGTATTAGTTTGCATTCCCACCAGCAGTGTTTAAAAGTTTTGCTTACCCACGTTTTGCCAGCAATTGAATTGTTTCTTTCTCCGTCCATATACATACATACATACGTACATATGTATGTACATATGTACATACGTACGTACATACAGGGGCGGGCAAAAGTAGGTTTACAGTTTTTATATGGAAAAAGATATGCCGGTTGTGATCATTACAGTAGCTTTATTAACTCAGACAAATGCCATTCACAACTATGTATATGGACACGTATACCATATTCCACACACACACACACACACACACACACACACACACACACACGGGGGAACTCAAAAAAACAGAATGATCTTCTGGGCTCCAAAGGGTAACCCAGGCTTCCCTAGCTAGGAGAGTGTTCTAGGAACTCGTCTGTGTCAGGGCACCAGCTGGCTTCAGAGAATTTTTTTGGACTCTCATTGTGTTTTCCCATTTCATGATAGGTGATTTATGAGCACACCTGCCCACACCGTGCTGAGTGTTCAGCAGTTTTTGACCAAAATGCCCCATGACCCTTGTGCCCCACCCTCCCTGTTCACTTGATCTTGCCCTGAGTGACCTTTTGGTTTCCCTGGATGAAAATAGTCCTAAAGGTAAACATTTTGCTGATGTGGAAGAGGTGAAACAAAAAACAGCAGCACTAAAGGCATCAAAATCGATGAGTTCAATAACTGTTTTGAGCGGTGGAAAAAATGTTTCAATAGATACACTGCATCAAATGGAGAGTACTTTGAGGGTGACTGAAATTTAAACATTTAAGAATAAATACACAGTTCTTTAAAATTCTGGGCTTCTTCGGGGGCCCCCTCAATAATATATATATTTAAAGTGAGGTTGAGCATCCTTCCCCTGTTGTTTTGACCCTACAGTTTTCTTCTGGGAATTGCCTACTTATAGCCTTTGTCCATTTTTCTGCGGGGTGGTTTGAACTTTTCTCATTCATCTCTAAGGGTCCTACACTCAGTCACACCACACATACCCACATGCACACACATTCTAGACGTTAATCCTTCGGTTACCAGCACTGCAAAGATTTGCTCTCAAGTTTTGGCTCGGCTTTCAACTTGATTCGCGCTGACTCCATAGTATTAATGTACACCATATGCAGATCTTGAGTCTGTCTGAAGTTTTAAACACTGTGAGGACATGATCCGATTTCTGCCGCACCAGTAGCCAGTTGCCTCAGCCTTGTTTATGGAGCAGTCCGTCCGTCTTTTCTCCACGTGCTGTAATGTCGCTCTCTAATACACGGGGGTTCTTTATATTTTGGGGTTTGTTTCTGGCCTCTCTTTAATTTTGTTAGTTGATATGGTTTCTCTGCAGCATTGTCACAATTTCTAAGTTACTGTAGTTTTATGAGAACTCTTGATATCTTGCAATTTCTTCAAAATTTCATTGCCTGTTCTTGGCCTTTTATTGTGTTGTAGGAATTGTTAGGGTCAACTTGTTAAATTGCATGAAAAATCTCAGTGGGATTTGATTGAAATCGTATTTAATTTATAGATTTTTATAGATTAATGTGGAGAGAAGTACCATCTATTTTCAAATTTTATATAAAATTTACAGTACAGGTGTTTACAATATGGGTGTTCCCATTTGCGAACATGCGATGTCCCGTTCTGAGTTTTTCACAGTGTCCTTCAGTTGTGCCTTATTGGCAGGTGCAGTCCAG